CTGTTAATAATCATGACAGTAATTTAAGGGCCTATATTTTAGAAAACGTTAATCGTGTGAAGGTAAAATTTTGCATGGCTTCAAACGTTATCATTTCATTTTAAAAAGTGCTGACTGTGAGTATAATTTTATCACTGTGATGTATATGGACTGGCCCGCCTATCTGTCTTTGGATTCTGTCCATAAATAAATTGCTTTTACTTACCACTAAATAGCAGCCATCTCTGTCTGTGTTTTCCTCTTTTTTGGTTTAAGGACTGAACCTGCTAACCAACCTAGCATTTGTTAGCTTCCAACTTCGCACTTTGCTCTAAGATGACAGCTACAACATGACAGCTAGTTGGCCAACATAGAGGCCTCAAAAATATTTGATAACCTTGCAGTGGGTAAGAAGAAAGTATAAGCATGTAAGGATAAAATGCACAAATGCTGTTGAGATTGTAAGTCAAATCTAATATAGTAATAAAGTGTAGTTAGTGTGTGAACACACACAAAATAATAATCAAAGGTCTTTAGCTTTTATGACCCTTCTTATTAAGAGGCTAATTGTAATAAAACAGAAATCTCCAGCACCTGGATTAAAGACACTTTAATTCCTTCCTTAATTCCTTATTTGCTTAAGTTGAAAAAGATAAGACTCTTTCTCAGGTGCAACCATAATCTTGCCCTTCCTAATCTCTGTGATTTGTTTCATATCACCACTGTTTCCCGCTCTCTCAGATCTTTATCTGGTACTCATCTTGTTGTTCTTCCTGCTCGTCTGATCACTATGGGGAACAGAGCTTTCAGTCGCTCTGCTCCTCGGCTCTGGAATTCCCTTCCTTTGGTCTTAAGAAATATAGATTCCCTTCTCTTATTTAAGTCACAGATCAAAACCTGCTTGTTTTAACTGGCTTACTCCCTTTAATACAGATCTTATTTGTTGTCAAATCTTGTTTATTTGTTTGTTTGGGGTTTTTTGTTTTTTTGTATCTTAATTTATTTTAATGTATTTTAATCTACTGTTTTATTAAGATCTTTAAGGTGACCTTGGGTTTTAGAAAGGTGCCCTCAAATAAAATAAATTATTATTATTATTATTATTATTATTATTATTATTATTATTATCATTATCTCCAGGACTCCAGGAATGTCTGGGAACTCGTATTTGACTTTGATGAGAAACCTAATTTCCCTTTAATCTCTGCTTGACAGTTTTAACAGTTGAGGTTGCTGCTGTTTGTTTTTCAATTACATTTTTAACTGGCTGAATGTATTGGTTTCTTGATACTCCTGTCTCACAGCGTTTACTCTTTTGTTTTTGTTGTTGTTTGTTATTTGTTTGTTTGTTTGCTTTGTTACTATTGGTTCAGCAATGACTTATACAAGATAGAATATGAAATTGATTTCCGCTTTTTGAAATGATTTCAAAAAGCCTTTTGATTCATCGTATTGTATCATTTAATGTTGGCTTGAAAATTTGGTTGTTTACAAGAGATAATATTTACTGGACCCATTGCTTTGTAACTGTCACATCCGCATAATACAAACATCCTGATTATGTCTCACACAGTTACGACTATATGTAACAACCTTTAGTCAAATGTGCTGGAACATGTATGCAAGTTAAATAAATTCATTTAACTTACATATGCAATGCATAATTATTTCTTAGAATTATTTCTTCTTCCCATCTCACCCCATTCTTGTGGAAGACACTGTTCATCCACTTGGTGAAGGTTTTCTTTTGAACTACCATCCGCTGCTCCTGCAGCTGTCGGACTCTCCCAGCCCCATCCTCCTCCGTCGCCATCCTGATGGGCTGAACATGAAAAACATTAAAAGTCACAGACACACGCAATTTTCAGATCTTGACCTTTTCTTGCTTTAACTTTATACAGCTTTAAACAAGTAAAAAACACGTTTTCATGAGAGATCTAGTTTGGACAACAGCAACACATCAGAGAGCGTAATATCAGACAGACACATCCGTGGCACACAGGAGTGTCAGTTAATGCTTTTAACATTTCAGTTTGCAGGTTAAAGGCAAAAACTGAAAGACTTTAGTTGTTACTGTTCAAAGTGTCATAGTTCTGTTTATGCATCCTTGTGTTCTTGTGCCTCTTGGTTAATAGAGCCTCTGTCACACTACACTGGTTCTTTGACACATTGCGATTGACTTGTCGAAGTCACTGATTTTTAAGCAATACTTAAAATAAGCATAACATGCATGATAGTCAACTAACAGAGACCTAAGTTAAAAAGAGCCTTAGAGCAAGAGGAGAAACAGAATAGGGGCAATAAACCAGACTGAAATAAAGCAGAACGATCCTTTAAGTATTTAAGCCTCACTCATCATTTGCCCTTTGGTAGGATTAATCAGCTGACTAGGCAAATTAAACTGAGCTGTCAGTTCACTTGCCTGAGTCAACAGTTAAATTGGACACATTTTATTTTCTTCCATGCTGACAACAGCAGTTACACCTAAATGTAATGTAGCTGTAAAAATTCCTAAGCTTTAATAACCTAACTCACTCACTCGTTGCTTTGTGCCATTAATGTGTGTGTATGCACACTTCTTTTTTATAACTGTCAAACTTAAGTTGATCATTGATTTTGTGAAGTGATGCCAAGACATTCAGGCACAGATAGAAAGGTAGATAACCTCATTTGTTGTCCTATTATCTTTCACCTATTCTCTTGTTTAAAATGTGTTTTTAAACAAAATGCCTTTCTAGTAGTTACAAGTGATATGAAAAAAATGCAACATAACTGTACCATGGCTGTACCATGCTGCTAAGTTATATTACAAAACACAATTTATTGCAATGCATCATCTTGAAAGTAAAATCTTAATTTTGCTAAATGTATAGCAACCAGTACTAAAAAGTTTAAACAGGATATTTAAACTTTGGTGTTTGTTCCAAGCTAAGCTAACCTCAGTCTAAAGATAAAGATCAGTCTAAAATCCATACTGCTGTCAAAATCTCCTTCTTTATCTCTGCTTTCCAATTTAGCAATACACTGTAAAATGACCAATACAAATATGGCCCACGAAGCCTAAAAATGTCCACATAAACAGGAAACACTTTTGTGCAGCAATGTGGTCACTTTTAAGTATCCTGGTGCTAAGATAACCTGCAGAAGAACTTAGAAAGAACCAAACTACAGGAACAGGAAGAGAAGCTATATACAGCACGCAAGCACACAGACAGAGGAAACATGCTCTTACCTTTCAGTCCTGTGCAGCCCAAAGCTCTTTATGATTTATTTTGTTTTCAACTTTGGAATCTCAGAGGAAAAGACATCTGTTTCTGAAGAAATAATGCCCTTCTGATCCAGTGAAGAGGGACACCCTGTTGATCTGATTTTATTGTCTGCACCAAATGTTGCCATAAAAGAGGTGTGTGAATTCATGTGATGTGTGTGTACAAGTATTGCCCATGTTGTGGGGACATAAATGTGTTTACACAGATAATCTGCAGAGATTCAAAGTAAATTAATAAAATTTAGGGTGAATACTTGATTTAATGTTAGGTAAGAGGTTATTGGTGTGGTTATGGTAATTCTACAAGAACTGAATAAAAGCCAATATAATGTCTCGTCTTTTTTGAAGAGGTTGAAGTGTGTGTGTGTGTGTGTGTGTGTGTGTGAACTTTGGAACCATTGGATTTACGGCTTGAGCAGATCCACTCACCTGACAGCAAAAGAGTCAAAGTTCAACGTGACAGTAACTCAAAACACACACGCACACACGCACAGACACGCTTCGAATGCATTATCTTTCTTTCTAAATCTTTCCAGCATATATTCATGTATAAAAGTTACAATGTGAATAAATGATGCACCCAAATGCAAGTGTCCTGAAGAAGAACCAGGATTAAGATCCAGTTTAACAAAATGCACACTGAGTCCTAATCTGAAACCTTTTGGTATAAAAAAAAAACCTGGAGAGGAAAAGATAAGAGAGGAGACAGTTCAAGATCCAGTAAAAGTAAACTGTACAGTGCGTGTTTCCTGGATTATAATTAATAATGCATAACCGTCCCTCATCCTGCCAAAACCACCTGACTGCAGCTCTGCAAGGAAACAGGACATTATGTAATAATTACCATTTTTTTAAAGGTCCTTTCCAGTAGCAAGACCAAGTAATTTAAGCATAGGGTGTGTCTTTAAATACAGCCTCAAAGTTTCAAACAGTTTCATAACTGCACATTCCCACTAGGAAAGCAGTGACTGTGGTCTCTCCTATGTTATTCATAAGGTAGCTCATGGGAATTCCTCTGTCCCTATGAGGAAGCACAGTCGTGTTTCTGCTGCAGCATTCTGCATTAACTGAAGACTTTTCAGCATCATTCTGAGACAGGATGTTTCTATCATTTTAGTTTTATTTGTGCAAACGCAAGAAAGTAGTCCTAGACATATTTGTTTAATGCATGTATTGAAAGACATATACTGGTCAAAAATGAATTACAGTGTTAGAAGGTAATGCAGTGCAATGAACTATGTCTGAATTTAGAAGTGAGAAATTAGAGGTCATCCAGGCTTTCAAGTCTTTCAAATATGTCTGCAGTTTAACAGTTGATTTGAAGAAAGCATAGGAATGACAGTGTTTTCTATCTATTCCTACATGTAAAAAGAATTGGTCCCAGCACAGAACCCTGTTGAACTCTGTGAACTTTTATGTGTGAAACCTTTTCTATTTATATGCACTAATTGAAATCGATCAGATAGATATGATATACCAAATGTGCGCTCTAATCTCTGTACTGTTTTAGTCAACAGTATTATATGCTGCACTAACATCTAGCAGGACGAGCACAAAGGGACGTCCACTGCAAGAGACCATAAGAATCTGCCCTAGTCCTTTTTCTGTGCTATAGTGCAGCGGTCCCCAACCCCCGGGCCTCGGACCGGTACCGGTCCGTGAGTCGTTTGGTACTGGGCCGCGAGAGTTGAGGCTCAGGTGTGAAATGTATAGTTTTCAGGGTTTTTAGCGGTTTTCAGTGTTATTTTGTTATCGTTTTTATCGTTTACTCGGTTTTCCTTGGTCTTTTCACGTGTGTTATGAATAAATTTTCTTTTTTTCGGTACCGGTACTAGTTTTATTTTGTTGTATTTATCCGCGACACCTTAATTGCCGGTCCATCAAAATATTGTCGGGCATAAACCGGTCCGTGGCGCAAAAAAGTTGGGGACCGCTGCTATAGTGCACTCTAAATCCTAAGCAAACAGTACAGCACTTGGTATTCCCAGGTAGTCCTCCATCCCAGTATTAACCAGACTTGACTCGACCTACCTTCTGACAGCTGGTGTGCTAAGGGTAGTATGGGCATAAGCTTGATTCCTTTCTCTTAGAAGACTTGTGGTTTGTTCAAGATGCAACTTTGGAAACCTTAGCCTTAGTGCCATGTTCTGTTTAGCGAGGTTTTCCTCTGGCAACTATTCCAAGCAGGCCAAACTTGTTCAGTCTTATAATTACACTGTTATGACCTTTAACATTTAAGATGCTAAATGAGTCCTAAATCTTTCACTGTAGAAGAATGAACTTCAAATTATTTGGAAGAGGACATTCCCAGACTGTTGGACGGGAACAATTGCTTCCCTAAGATCACTGCTAATGTCTTTTCTCTTAGGCATTATATAGACAAACAAACTCCAAACTGAAAAAATAACTGTCTGAGAAATGTGGTTATAATAAAGTCCCAAAAAACAAAACACTGGAACCTTGAGTACATGTACTGAATAAACTTTATTAATTTTATTCATTTCCAGCTCTGCTAACAGGGTGAGAGGTGGAAATGCATTAGAACAACACTGGAACAACATTATTACAAAATACATCCGGCTGAAAAAGAAAAAAAACCTTTTACATTCAGGTAAATGGAAGTTAGTTTGACCTTTTCACTACATGTACAGCTGGATGGATAAAATCATACAGAAAACATAAGAAAATAACATGATTCATACATGTTTCACTTTTATAGACGGGGACAGAGTGACTGCAGATGTGCCCTTTTGCTTGGAAGATTGAAAGAAGATTTGTGTGGTTGCTGAGCAAAAATAGTACATGACACTTATTAATCTAGCAATTCCACCAGTCTTTGCCCCAATAGCAGACAGAAAAGACAAAAGCTGTGCTATGCAGGAATTATTATTACCCTCATTAAGTAGGTGGAACCTGTTGCTGTTTGTTCATCTGAATAAAAGAAGGTTTGCAGAAAAAAAACAAGTTGAACTTCATGAAACTTGGTGGAGAGATGGAATTAAGGGCATTAAGGTTTGACTTTTTAGAAAAATATCTACATTTTTTTAGTTATTTATTTTTATTATTACTGAAATAACATGGTTCAGTTTTGGGAAAGAAATCTGATGTCTACATTTTAACAAAACTACAGAAAATCTCCACAGTAGTTTAAGTCACATCTAAGGAAACCGTCATCTTCCTCAAACTTTAACTAAAGAACTTTTTTGCCTATTGTGACAACTCCTTCCACCCCACCTCCTCCAGCTATTAACAAATATGTTATCGGGTTATCCTCAGATTTTTAAGGGCACTGAACCTTACACTTAACTGACATTATATGATAACCCTGAATTAGATAAGCAGGTGAAAATGGATGTTAAAAACAGTATTAGTAACATATGAATATAATTTATTGTAGACGGGCTTGGAAATTAAATGCACTGACAGTTGCATGTTAAAAGCACTGATGTGCAGGAGACCTCCTGTAAAATCCTCAAGGATAACCACAGTCCTGTCATAGGAACAGAGGCCTTTAAACACAACTTAAAAACAGCAACATGGTGACAATGTCAAGTTAAAACAATGTATTCTGACAAATTAAAAGCCTTTGAAATGAAAAGGCACTGATATGGAACGTCTTCCCTTTACATCTGCTGTGGTTTTAAAGGTATAATTCATTTATATATATCAGAAAATACAATTTCAGACATTTATTTAACCATAAAAACCGCATGAGTTACCTTCTCCCACTTATCTTATCTGTTAAAAATCCTCTATAATTTTAGCTAATTGTTTTTCAACCCAATAGTTGGAATTACTGCTAATTTTGTTGCTGGGTTTTTAGGTTTGGGTTATGTTGTTGAGTGTTTTATGTCTCAGATGGGATGCAAAAATGTGTTGCGATATCTTAGTTTGTTCTGATGTAATCTCATTTGAAATTTGACATTTAAAAAAAGAAAAGAAGAAAGAAATAACAAGACAACGAACCTATTTCCTGCAAACTCTGTTTCCTGTTTAAAATTTTTCTTTGAATGGTGATGTTAAGACCAGACGCTGAAGTTTTCAGTCTTGTTATTATAAGATCAGAGGTCAAGGCTCTCCTCCTGTCCTTTTCATTTTACAATGTCAGGAAACAGAATCAATTGAGCACGTACTGACAACTGCATTTCAGGACACTGTCTATCCCTGTGAGCAAATTAGCACTGAGCTGCAGACTATGACCTCTGACCTCACTGTGAGGCCTACATGGAGTGGGAATAAAGCTGTGTTACAGCTTCTGATTACAATACATACTATGTCAGCTTTTACTCCCCAGCTTTAGTTTGTTGTGATGCTGCTGGAGCCATTGCGATTGTTTAAAATTTTAGATTTTATTAATTTTTATTTCATTAACTTATTATATTTATTTATTTATTTATTGCATAATGTCATCATCAAGACACATCTTTGGTATTTTTATCTAAAAACGTTTAAAGACGAAGTTTCCATAGTGCTACAAATGTTTTTACCAGAATAGAGATTTGCTACAGCCTGGACTGCCAGGTGTTTCAGTCAGTTTAGCAGTGTTTTTCTGTGAAGGAGAATAACTGTCATTGTTGTGTAACTGTGAAGACCTTTTAGGATAAAGCCGGAACAGTTTGAAGGATGGGGAAAAATCCAGAAAGATATTATGGGCACTTTGAACACCAGCAAGTATGCATTTAAACTTGCATCTAACGTTTTGTGCAAGTGATGTCCTTTGAAATATGTTGCAGTAAAATGAATAAACTGCACCCTAGCACTAACTGTTACCTTCGGATAGTCGGTTTTCAAGGTTAAACCTGAATATATGAATATGAACTTGCCGTCCTTCAGAAATTAAAGTGAATGGTGAAACCAGAATTAGGCAAATGTGGCTATATTATACAAGAACTTTGTCACTTTTCTTCTTTAATGCAATTAAATCAGCTGAAATGCTCATTATGTCAAATATTATCAAAATAAAAGTGCTTTGTTTGACTGCTGCCTGAAAATGTCAAGCATTATTAGGCTCTAATGCATCGTCTTAGTGAATGTATCCAACAAAACTTTACCCTTTGACCTTGT